AAAATAAAAAAAAAAATATAAAAAATTTTATGATTTTTAATTACTTCAAACACACGCAAGTCGCTTGCTCAGCATATTCGGCTGATAAGCAATTCTCCTTCCTAAGTTTTCATCTTTTGCTCGCGCTGCTGTCCACGCCTTTCCATTGGATTTTATTCTATTTCCTTTCCATTTTTAATTTAAATGAAATTCCTCAACAAAAAAAGGGAAATTAAAATCATAATAATCATAATAACGGTTAATTGTTACTCGGTCAGGCCATATTTAGAAGAAGTTGTCGGAGGAACAAAATGTCGTCCATATTTAAAACAAGTTATTGGGGGAACAAAATAAGAATAATCGTAGGTGTCGTTTAAAAGTTTAAAAGTTATTCAGAACTATGACTGTGATGTTGGTGTTGGATATTATGAGGTTATTTCAATATCTTTCCGATTACGTTCCTTTCTGACTTCTGCCACAATTTTGTGATGTCATTAAATGCCGATCAATAATACACATAATAAAGAGTTCTAGAAGTTCTTATTTACGGCGCTAGAAAGATAATCTTCCAACTTCTAACCTTTATCTTCTTTCATTAGATTATAAAAACAAATATACTGGCACGGTTTAGATTTAGCCGAAGGACCGTACTGCATTGAAATTGATTATGTGTGTAAAATATTTTATAATCTTTGGAATTAGGGAAGGTCTGTCTAATATAGGTTAGGTTCAGCTAAACTGGTAGGCAACAAAGCCACGCATATACCAGTTTTGCTTCTTTGCGATAACTGATGGAGTTCAGTTCCTACATAGGTCCAAGAGAAGCATGGATATGGATACCTCCTTCAGTATATCATAATGTTGATATCAGATGCTTACAGCGTAGTCTTACCAATGGGAACAAGTGCACAAGATATGTTCCATTGTTTCCCTAGTGTCTTGCTTTAAACATTTGCTGCAGTTTTAGCTTTTATAACCTGCATAGGCGGGAACTATGATAGAAATATCTTCTTACTTCTTTAACTTTATGGTTTTATGATTATGAAATTTTTATGTTTCCAAAATTGTCGACAGTAGTATTTGGTTCGGTTGGAACCTACTTCTTAATTACATATGTATATTTTTCTTTCTTCATTTAAGAAACGCTCATTAACACTGCAGAAAACAAGTGTGATTTCTCCATTTTTTGTATTTGCAGATCGACCCGAAGGTAGCTTTTCCCCGCAGAGCACATCCTAAAGTAAGTAAAACTTGACCTAATAATCCTTAATTTACTTACTTATAGAAATACTATTAATAAGTGCTAGAAATATACGAGTATGGAAATAATAAGCAGCTGTCTTCGATTCGCCAAACGTAGGAGAGTAGCGTATCGAACAAACTATGCCAGATGCTCAAGAAAACGGATTCGTTTTTAGTGGAGTAATTCTTTTTTCCGCATTAAAAAATGTTTCAGTAGTCCTTTACTTTTGCTTACCATAAATTACTGTAATTGATTTTCAGTCTTTAGTTTTAATACAAATAATACAAGACAAAAAGCAATTTGAATTTTCAGTTGCCATTTGCTCCGCTTATTTTAATAAAACTGATCTAAAATGTTTAAAAAAAGAAACTGGGCAACCTTGAAGATAGCGGCTATACTACTTTAACGAAGTAAACGCATACTCTCTTACACGAATTCAACTCCATAACTCTGTGGTTGCTTTTAGATGTAATTTTATTGACAAGAGAGTCGAAGCGAGCAGAGTAATGGCGAATCGAAGGCAGCTAGCAACGGAACTGTTTTCCCTCTGTTATTGAGTTGATGCTTTCGTCCAGAGAAATCAAAAAATTATATGTAAACCTAAACAGAACTACATCAATAGACAATGATGTGGAAGATGCTCGACTGATTCCAGTAAATACAGAAGTATATGGATTCAAATTAGTATAATTTGCAAAAAAAATTTTTAGTATTCAGTACTCTATACAACAGAGGCCAACAAAATATTGTGAAAATAGTAATATACCTTATATCTTATACCCAGAAGAGGGTTTATACTTATGTATGTACATATATTTAGCTTGCATAATTTCTTACATCTAAAAGGAAACGTCCGAGACCTTATAAAATATATGTATAAATATAATAATCGGCATGACGAGCTGAGTCGTGCTATGTTCGTCTGTCTGCCTACCTCTGAATACACGAGTTTTTGAGATATCGATCTGAAATTTTGCAAACATCTTTTCCTCTCCAATAAGCGTCTCATTTGTCAGAACCTCCTATATGGGACCATTATAGCATACACAGTTTGTCCGATCAAAATCAAGGAATGTATGTTATAAAAATGCACGTGTGAAGGGTATTAATGCTTCGCTGAAGTCAAATTAAACTATTCTTCTTATTTCTAAATAGTCAATTAGTCATACAGCTAATTCGGCGGATTAAGAAAAGCTGAGCTGAGCATTCTAAAACTTTTTCCAAAATGGATTGTAGAAAAATTTATACGAGTAAGGAAGCCCTGAACTAGGGTGGAAAATTACATTAGTAGTAGTACTTTTTCTTTGTAGGATTTTACTAAATGTGAGAAAATTTTTTTATAGTGGTTAAGATATGAACGGATTGCCAGATGCCACCGCTTACGAGTAACCGAAGTTTACGCGCCAGTCGCTCTTCCTTTTCGTTTTTTGGCGCCAATCGGAGATTCCAAGTGCAGCCAAGTCCTTCTCTACTTGGTTTTTCAAGGGAGGTGGATGTCTTCGTCTTCATCTGCTTTCCCTGGCGGGTACTGCGTTCAATACTCTGGAGTGTTTTCATCAATTCGAACAACGTGAACTCTCTTACTCTTGTAATTCGGTTCTCATCGTTTCACCAAATTCGGTATTCGTCGTTGCCAAAGTGAAAAAGACTACAAAACTTTCGCAGAACCTTTCTCTCGAAACCTCGTAACGCCGACTCATCAGATATTGCCATCGTCCGTGACTTGTAGAGTTTGTTCTTTGTTCGTCGAGATGGGACTTTACTTCTCAATTTCCTTATCAGTCTGAATTAGCAACTGTTGACAAGAGTTATTCTGAGTTGGATATCGAGGCTGACGCAGTTATTGGTGTTAATGCAGGTTCCAAGATAGACGAAATTATCTACGACTTGGAAGTTGTGACTGTCAACAGTGACGTGTGAGCCAAGTCGCGACGACTGTTTGTTTGATGACAATAGATTTTCGTCTTGCCTTCCTTCACAGCTAGACCGATACACAAAGGCCTGTACACAGCAGACTAATTCTGATCCCCCGTAATACTGAAAGATCGGCGACCAAGCCTAACTTTACCGAACCTTACATATCATTGCTGCTTATATTTATTGCTATTGAGCTTTAGGCGATTTCCACATTATATCATTTAATGCCATCGGAATGTTTTCTTGACGTTTTCGGATATTATTTAATTAGCCTCTGTATTTTTGGAGGATGTCGACATTTTTGGTGAACCACAATGTTGATTGACAAAAATATTGTACTCTCTTACGCATGTTGCGAGAGTATAAAATAAATAGATAAAAGTCACTTAATAAGAAGCAGCTTCTCGTTGCTTTGGAGTGAAAAATGATGATAACTACAAATTTCAGTAAGTCACTGCAGCGCTTCGAAGATAATAACAGCTTCTATGTATGCTCGCTACACAGAAAAAAAAAACAACAACAAAAATAACCATACACCATAACGGAGTTATTAAGCGCTATAAAAATGCCATAAGAACCATTTCGTGGCAGAAGTGGCAACCGCAAGCAGCTGCGAAAAAAGGAACTAGAGAAGGGCGCATAACCGAAAGTGTCAGCAACAGTACGAATCTTATGGCCATATCTTTGATGTCTCCGGCTTTAGTGTGGTGCGAAAAGAAGTAGGGAAAATCTAAGCTAAAACGTTTAAAGTGTTGCGGGAGAGCGGAGAATAATTGAAACATGGACATATAGTATGTACGAGTGTGACCCAATGTCGGTATAATATTTGCTAATGTCATTAACTGGTTAAGTTTTGGTGAAATATTTTTCTTATTTGGGGCTTTAGCGTTCTATTGCTTTTCCAGATTGCTGAAATGTTGTCAAAGAATAAGTTGACAGGAGCATATGTATTTAATAATCATATGAGACTCGTCTAAGATTTGAAATAGACTGATGTGCCCCACAGGAAATAGTCTAACGGCGTCAAATCGCTCCACCAAGGCGGCCAATTGACTGGACCATTTCATGAGATAACACGTTCACCAAACTTGGTTTTCAATAAATCGATTGCGATTCGCTGTGCGGATTGTAGCTCCGTCCTGTTGGACGTTATGTAATATTTGGTTATCATTGAGCGGCAGGGAGTCCCATTCACAGTAGAGTCCCGGTCTTAATCATCAGGGTATAAGCACCGTCTAATGACGCCGCCGGTCCATAAACCGCACCAAACCGTAGTTTTTCCGGTATGCAATTATGGAGTACATGTGGATTGTTGCCTGACCAATAACGCATATTTTGCTTATTGTCGAAGCCATCCAGCCAGAAATGAGCCTGATGAGTTTTCCGGATCATTTTCAAGATCAACATCGGTCTAATTCTCGAACATACGACGAGACGGCTTCAGTTCATGCGACAATTTGATCTTGTAAGAATGTAGGCCAAGATCTTTTCGCAAAATTCGCCACAATGATATCAAAAAGATGCCCAACGTTTGAGAGCGACGTGTGAGAGACTTAAGGAAGACCCTAATCCTTAATTGATGCGCTAGCGGCAGCAATATTCTCGATATTACGGGCACCTCTTTGTCTCACTGGCACTTGATCATTTTGTACTGTGCCCGTGGACTCCAATTTTTCCACTAGATGCTTAATCGTTGATTTGATAGAACGATAATGACGTTCATATATTCGACGTAGCGCTCTTAAAGGTCACTGACTGCGAGTATCGGTAGTAAATTTTAATCATTTCGACACGTGGTTGGATCGCATATCTTTCCATGATGGAATAGCAAAGCTCAATGAAGAGAATCAGAGAATTTTCAAAAGAGCGGGAAAATATGGAGGGGTTTGGTTTGCTGTCCCAATCGGTCTACTATTATTGCGTTCTTATTGAAAAAACCGTTTCTTTATATGGCCACCGATGTTTCCTTCTGGGTGTTACAAACTTATATGGATATAAAAATATACTCATACGGTGACTAATGCCGACTAGTGATGCTCTGAAATAATTGGATATTGAAGTAGTGTAATCAGATTTAAACGCGGCACTCAAATTTGCAGCGTGGCTGGCTTTAAATGGGTAAAGCAATTCTTGAGAATATAAAAAATAAAATGAAATGCGAAAAAAATGATAATACTTAGCGACATAAAATGCAGATGAGCCAAGTTAGCAAAAAATAAGCCCGCCATAAAAAATTCAACGCTAATATATGTTTGTACCACAGTCAGATATGTTAAGACATATTCTTATATGTAAATGCGTACTTATATACGCGCATAAGAGCGCGCTTCACGCGGTATGAAGAGGCGAGATGGCTGAGAAGGCAACTCAACGCCGCAATGAGTTTTAAAAATGGGTACCAACCAGCCCAACATTTAAGAGCGTCATGAAGGGATTGGAGCTGGGCGTATTTTTAATAATCGTGGGCCCTTCCTTCTTCAACAGCGTTAAGTGGTGGAACGACGTGCAACCGCTTTTTAATTTTTCCAACGCGTCGACATTGAATTTTGCCACTTTCACGCATTTCGCTTACTTTAGCAATTGTGGGGAATATTTTCTTTTTTGCTACAAAGCTTATGGGCCTCCATGCAGCATACCTGCGCACGCATTCATTCATACATATGTAGATGAAAACACCTAAGACTTCATTTGGCCCAGACTCGCATACTAATGGAATGGTGGGCATTCGCGGCAATGTTCCCACAAATAAAAAAAAAAAAAAACTCATTGAATAAGTTGCTGGCTGTGCTGTTGTTGGCGCTGCGAAGTGTCAGCAATTTCGTAGTAAATAAAAAATATTTATTTGCATTAAAATTGAAAATAAACGTCAGCTCATAATATGAAATGTTTACGTCCAAGATGTGACACAACCGCGTGGTCTAGCTTTAATCAGTATTCAAAATGAAAATGAGACCCAAAGGACTCTGCTCTCTAAATCACTTAAATCAGCTGGTGCTTCAAATTAGTGACTGTAGCTGCAGAGTTAGTTGATTACAAAAGTGGCGCTGGGTTGGTCGAGAGCAGGAAAAAAAGAGGTGATT